ACCTCCCATATAAATTAAATACAAAAATACGTTTCTCTTGGAAACTATTACAGTTAGAATCTTCAAATTTTGCACGAAAAACTTTAACATCCATGTTAACATTTTGGTAAATAAATTGGCGGACTACCCATGAGGGGAGCGGCATCTCCCATATTAATTAAATGTAAAAATTCGTTTATCTGGGAAACTAATAGAACTAAATTCTTCAACTTTTGCACTAAAAACTTAAATATTCGTCTGAACATTTTGGATGAAAAAGATCGGACTTCCATCTGGGGGGGATTGGAGCCCCCATATGAATTAAATAGAAAAATTCGTATATCTGAGAAACTATTAGAGCTAGAATCTTTAAATTTTACTTGAAGAACTTTGACATTCATCTGAACAATTAGAGTATAACGGTCGGACTTTCAATGGGGGGCTTGGTACCTCCCATATTAATTAAATACAAAATTTAGTTTATCTGGGAAACTAATAGAACTAGATTCTTCAAATTTTGCACAAATTACTTTAATATTCAACTGAACATTTTGGGGGAAAACGAGCGAACTTTCATATGGGGGGCGTGGAGCCCCCATATGAATTAATTAGAAAAAATCGTATATCTTAGAAACTATTAGAGCTAGAATCTTCAAATTTTACTTGAAAAACTTTGACATTCATCTGAACAATTAAAGTATAACGGGCGGACTTTCAATGGGGAACTTGACAACTCCCATATGACTTAAATATACAATTTCGTTTACCTGGGAAACTAATAGAACTAGATTCTTCAAATTTTGCAGAAATTACTTCAATAATCATCTGCATATTTTGGAGGAAAAATATCGGACTTTTATCTGGGGAGCTTGAAGCCCCCACATGAATGAAATAGAATAATTGTATATCTGGAAACTACTAGAGCTAGAATCTTAAAATTTTACATAAAAAACTCTGACATTCATGTGAACATTTAGAGAATAACGGGCGAGCTTTCAATTGGGGGCTTGGCACTACATAAATGAATTAAATACAAAATTTCGTATATCTTGGAAACTATTATATTATTGAAATTTTATTCATAGATAGAAATTGGCGAACTTTCAGTAATTTGCTTGGCATCTCTAATATGTAACATATTGTAAATCTAGAGAACTATTGCAGTTAGAATCTTCAAAATCGTTAAGTGGGTTTTTAATTTATACTGCTTTTAGGGTAGCAAAGCACACTGGGTATAGCTAGTATTTTATAATAAAAAATTGTAATGTTATTCGCTGTTTGAAACATCATTACAGAAGCTAAGTTGAAGCTAAAATAAATCAAGGTCCTTTTCATAACAATTTATCAAAGGTTTATTTTCATACAAATTTTGTTCTATAAATCCTTTTTTATAGAACTACCTTTTATATTTAGCAGGTCCCATTAAAATGACAGAAAAATATGACTAAAATTAACATTATGTTGGGTAAAACCTTTATTCGAATTAGATTAACTAACCTAAAGGTCAATTGCTTCTTCGAAATTTTATTAATTAAAAAAAATCGTCTACAGTTTATCCATAATATTTAAATAGTTTATAAATATCTGAATGTCAGATTACTTTAACTATAGCCACCACCATAAAAAAGGTAAACGTTATAAAAAAGGAAATATTTTTCGAAGGCGTCTTTAAATTTGTTAAAAATAATTTTGAAATGTCAGCACTTAATTTCAGAGGATGTTTTAAAGGCGTCAGTCGACACGATTGTTGAAATTTGTTCGGGTAACAGTTTTTGTTTAGTGATAAAACTTTGTAAAATATTTATGTCACAAAGTCTTTAAGTGAATTGAATTGTGTAGTTAGTTGTTATATAACGTAATAAAACAACAAACAAAACCTATACATTCACACATACATACATACAACGAGAAGATTCATATGTGTTTTTGAGTATGTACTAAGATACAAAGTTTATTTTTATGTGAATACTTATCCTACCCAGTAGTTTATGTAACCAGTTGCTGATTGATGAATGAATATTAGTTAATAAAAATTCAGTTTACTTAACCTTAACCTCCACCTCTAGGGATTTTATAATGGTAAGATTTCTTATTTTTAAGAATTTAAAGGTAACAAATTCTTTAAAACTGCAGGGTAAATATTGAAGTATAGCTACAAACGTACGTATGAATATGTACGTGTTTGTGTACATCCTCCTGTACGTGGGAGTTTTTATATGCCATTTGCATCATTAAAATTCAAAAATTTTTTGGCAAACATTATCAAATTTAGAAAAAAAAAAATATATAAATACACAGTGACATTCACAGAACCAAAAAAAAAACTCAAGAGCTTCCCCATAAACACAGGGGCAATCAATGAATGGAAATGGCTGATTATATACACAGAGAAAAGAGACAACACAATCATATAGATTATACAACAAAAAAATACAAAAATATTCATATTTACAAAGTGAAATATTCATTTGTTTGTATGTTAGCAGATTATACAATATTTATACATTCACATACAATTGTATATACTTATTTATATACTAATATTTACATTTTATATTTATACCTTGATGATCTATCGATGAATTTAATATTTGTAATAAGTTTATGAATAAATTTTGAAAATTTTATTGCATAATTAGGAATGGTAATTTATAAAACATTTGGTAAATTATAATGGTGACATATTTATTTATGTTTTAAATTAAGTATCGCAAATAAAATCTAATGAACTTTAAACTTCCTGAATTGTAGAGAAATTTGGAATATCGTCAGCTTTTATGCTAAGTTCTAACGGACGGACATATTTTAATCGACTCAGAAGGTGATGTCGAAGAAAGGGGATCCCTCGAACATGGACAATTGCCGCCCGATTCCAATGGAGAGTGTTCTCAACCATCATTTGGTAGGCTATTTGGAGAAAAATAAACTTCTCAACGACAGACAATATGGCTTTCGTACTGGTCGTTCTACTTGCCGATCAATTCAGCACATGGGTGAAAGCAGAGTAGTGGTATTGGATATATCATAGGCATTCGATTGAGTATGTCATGATGCTTTGATTTCCAAACTTAATTCGTTTGGAGTAGGAAAGGAATTTTCCATTTTAATCTCACATTTTCTTTGCAGGCGAACCATAAGGGTAGTTATAGTGGGGACAATAGTAACGATCATATACTAAATTCCGGAGTTCCTCAGGGCTCTGTTCATTCTCCAGCTCTCTTTTTAGTTTTTGTGAACGACTTATTGTCAATCACAATCAATCCACAGCAATATACATATGTCATTCATATTCTTACGACCATAGACCTGATTCTTCAGAGATAAATCTCTCCAGATTTGATATGGTTGACTAATGACCCTATCTGCGTGGGGTAAATTGAATTGTGTGAATTTCAATTCCCTCAAAACCCAATACAGCTCATTGTCTCATAAACGACTTGAAACGCCTCTTTTATAAAAACTCCGCATGAATGATGTGAACATTGATGCATCGGACGTCCTTTCGATTCAGGCTACGACCATACAATGTGAAATCCGATGGAACTGTCATATCTTTGAAATAGCAAATGTTTGGGTTTTTTAAGACGTTGTAGAAAATACTTCTCCGATCTTCGTATTTACACCACCTACATCCGACCTAAAATGGAATATAATTCAGCCTCAAGGACTAGTCTTGAGTTACTTGACAGGACACAAAGAAGGGTAGTGTGTCGACGATGCAACTGTCACTGATTCTATTGATTCCCTAGAACATAAACGAATCATACGTTTGTGAAACTTTCTTCTGTCAATTTAAGTCAAACATTAACAAACAGTTTTCTCACTTTCCTCCCCCATACAAACACTAATTCCTCTTCCCTCCTTCTCTCATCTTTACTTTTAAATATCAACACGATGTACTGCATTTATGGGCATCTTTTCCATCTTCCATTTTTATAACATCCACATCCGCAACAACATATAACAAATCCGAATGGGACTATAAGGAGTCCCGAGGAAATTGACTTTTAGTAAAACAATCCACATTATTTTTATACAAATTTCAATATTTATAATTTATTTTTGAAGAGAAATTGCAAATATTTAAATTTTTCTTTTCAATGAAGATTTCTTTAAAAAATTAACATACATATTTATTAATATACATAAGTATTGTGTGTTGTAACTGTAATTAGTTCAAAAACTTTACATCTCTGTAATTGTAAACAACTGCTGAGTAAAGAAATAATCATCATCAACATGTTGTAACAATTCCTCTGATGGTATTGACTTAAGCGCAGGCAGGCAGACATAAATACAAATTCAAAACAATGCATTATAAATGAGCACTGCTCAAGCACCGCAGTTTGTGGTGCCACAACTGAGAAGACAATTACAAAAATAAATAAATGAAAAGAAGTAAGAATATATAGTCGGTCATGGCCGGCCATATGATACCCTACGTCAGTGAATAATATGTTGAAAGTGCGGTTTACTTTTGACAAAAAAAGTGATTTTTTGAAAGAGGGGTTATATGGAAGCAAGGATAAAGCTATTTATGCAGTGTTCATAAGTGAATTATTGACCTTCAAATAACTTGATTAAAGGGATTTTGTAATGGGGGCTCTTAAGAAGACCTTATATGAGGACTAGATTCAAATGTGGCAGGATCCTAATGATACTTTATTCAAACCTTATCAGGATTGTCTATAAAGTACTCTAAATATACATATATACCTTTACGAACTTATAACCAATATTTCGATGTGTTACAAACGAAATGACTAAATCAATATACCGCCATCTTTTTTGTTGATGGGTAGAAAAATAAATTGCTAATGTTGGCAATTTTTACTCACTGCAAATACAAAATAAATGACAACTTGTGTCTTGAATTTATTTATTTTTTTATATATTTTTTTTCTATAGTAATCATTAAGTTGTTGTGTGTGTTTAAAAAATGATTTTAATATATGTATCTCCTATGTATGTTTGTAATTTTAAAATGTTTTTCTTTAAATGTGTTTTTTATACTTTTACAGCCATGTGGCAATCAATGAAAAAGTATCAACAACAGCGACATCGACTTCAACAACAAAAACAAGTAAATCAACATCATTATTTAAACAATTACCACCACACGAGCAAATGTTGTAATCATTATCATCAAAAACAACTTTATTGTCATTATTATCGTTTAAAGCTTAAATACTTAAAATCATTACAACCACAAAAACAGCAAAAGCAACAATTACAACAACAACATCAGCAACAGCAACATAAACAACTACTTAAGCTACAGCACGTTGCCCACAAATCCCTTATGTATAGCAACAGCAACAACAACTGTTTTGGTTACACTACTACTGCTACGACTAATACTGTTGCTGCTCCAATTTCTCTTACCACAACTAAGAATTTGTCTTTAGCTTTTGGTTATAACCATAATCATTGTAAGTAAAATCGTCTATATACATGTATATTAGGGTGGCCCCTTTTGTATGATACTGATGCTCCCACTTTATTTTTGTCCTGGGTTCAATGCTTAGTGAGCTGGGTCAAAGCTGGGAAAAAGTTCCCTTTTCACGAAAAGGAATCTCATGAAATTTTGATATCAGAGAGGAGCTTTCAATGGCGTATTTTACTAGTGAAAAATAATGTAAAAAACAAGATACACAAGTATTATTCTAATAATTATTTTAAGTCTTAAAAGTTATATCAACATTTTGATGAAATTCAAACTTTTATTTTAGTAGAGAACTTCAATTACTATCATACAAATCGAACTACCCTAATATAAATTTGTAATTTATGTTTTAATCCTAGCAAATGTCATCAATAAGTTTATTCTTTAAATCGGATTATAATGTTTATATCGATGATCATTAGTTAGCCATATTTGCGCTTGTATTTTAATGATCAAAACATTAAACTTTTAAATTTTAAAATTTTTATATTATAATAAACTGTTTAATTATGAAATCATTTCTTTAAAGATCTGATCCCAAACCAACTTAACATCAAAAGGACAAAAAATAACAACTAGTGTGAAAATAACTAAACTTTTAGCAAACATTTGCTGTAAATGATAGTAGAAAATAGAAAACAAACAAAACAAAAAAGATAAATATAAAAAAGAAAAGTAACGAAAAACAAACAAAATTACAAAAACGCAACGTACAAAAAGAGAAAACATTTACCTTAAGACTCTGTAACAATTTGCTCAGCTTAAACATACTGGTTACTTTCATCGTTACTCTATCATCAATGGTGTTTACAATGATACCTCTGATAGCAACAGCAATAACAACAACAACTGTACTACCACCTGTACTGTCAACAAATACAGTTACAACAACCACCTTATTGATGTCTTTAATAAATATGACAAATATTAGTTCCTCCTCCTCATCATCCACTTCGTTACAACAACCACAATCAAGACAATTACAAATGCACCAACCTCATCAACAACAACACCATCACCAACAACAGCAGCAGCCGCACCAGCAACATCATCATCATAATCAGATACACATTGATCAAGATGCCAATACGAAATATTTAAATTTTGTTGCCAATGGCCTGCTGGACACAAGCGGTGTCGTAGGCGGGGAAGGAATTGTTGGTGGTGGAGGTGGCGGTCTTAGCGATGATGCATTTAGTATAAGTGGTTTTGGTAGTATGGGTGCAAGTGGAGGAGGAGGTGTCGTTGGTGTTGGCAGTGGTGAAAGTATAACAAGTGTGGCGGATGCTAGTGTTAGTGGTGGTATAGATGGTAGCGGTGGTGGCAGCATTTCAGTTCCTATTGATGCCCTAAACGAGTCACATTTAATATTTGTCATCGTCAAATGTTTCATTATAATTTTCATCATACTCGCTGCCATACTCGGTAATATGCTGGTGATTGTATCTGTCATGCGACACAGGAAATTGCGGTAAGTTTTTTTACAGTTATATGTTATTAATGAAATAAATAATTCATGTTATCAATGAGATTATCAGCTGATAGGTTATTTTATAGGTTTTCGCGAAATCATTTCAACAGGCCAATTTGTATTTGAGAGTAAATTTTCGTAGTTTTCTCTCTCAAAAAACATGATAAAGATATCAGTTAAATATTTTAGTTAGTGTTTTTTGCAAATAAAGCCAAATGTTTGTATTCTTTTCATTATTTTTTGTTTTCATTTTTTATTGTGTCTTCGTTTTAATAACGCACAACCATATATAACATACCCTGCAGTTCGCGATGCATACTGCTGCAAGAGGAATTTGGAGTTTGTCATCCCACCAGGTTACGTAGGGACTCTAAATTGACGATTAGTTGTAGATTTTACAAGAAATTCATGAAAAAAATAAAAATTCAAATCAATATTATCTAGAAAGGGTCACAGATTCCTTAGAAAACTGTTGGCAATATTTTTTCCATTATTTTGTGTGTGTGTGTGTAAAAATGTAATGTTTATGGGTAAATAATGTGACATGTGTAATTTAATGGGTATCATGTGTGAAAACAATAAACTCAGTTAACTTCCAAGTTGCTTAAAGCAAATAAACTATTCTCATGAAAATGTAACTTTAAGAAGAATACGTGTATTATCAGGAGTTTTTTTAAATACACCAAAAAAGAAAGTTTTCCATGGAAAATTTAAGGACATAATATTCAAGGAAAAACTTTTTAATAAAATGATATACGATCTTTGACGTATTCTGCAATAGGGAGAATCCATATCAAAACAAACAGATAACAGGTATTTTCGGATTTACCATCTCCGATTTTAATCCCGGAATCGGAATCCCTAACTAACTAACTAACTAACTAACTAACTAACTAACTAACTAACTAACTAACTAACTAACTAACTAACTAACTAACTAACTAACTAACTAACTAACTAACTAACTAACTAACTAACTAACTACTAACTAACTAACTAACTAACTAACTAACTAACTAACTAACTAACTAACTAACTAACTAACTAACTAACTAACTAACTAACTACTAACTAACTAACTAACTAACTAACTAACTAACTAACTAACTACTAACTAACTAACTAACTAACTAACTAACTAACTAACTAACTAACTAACTAACTAACTAACTAACTAACTAACTAACTAACTAACTAACTAACTACTAACTAACTAACTAACTAACTAACTAACTAACTAACTAACTAACTAACTAACTAACTAACTAACTAACTAACTAACTAACTAACTAACTAACTAACTAACTAACTACTAACTAACTAACTAACTAACTAACTAACTAACTAACTAACTAACTAACTACTAACTAACTAACTAACTAACTAACTAACTAACTAACTAACTAACTAACTAACTAACTAACTAACTAACTAACTAACTAACTAACTAACTAACTAACTAACTAACTAACTAACTAACTAACTAACTAACTAACTAACTAACTAACTAACTAACTAACTACTAACTAACTAACTAACTAACTAACTAACTAACTAACTAACTAACTAACTAACTAACTAACTAACTAACTAACTAACTAACTAACTAACTAACTAACTAACTAACTAACTAACTAACTAACTAACTAACTAACTAACTAACTAACTAACTAACTAACTAACTAACTAACTAACTAACTAACTAACTAACTAACTAACTAACTAACTACTAACTAACTACTAACTAACTAACTAACTAACTAACTAACTAACTAACTAACTAACTAACTAACTAACTAACTAACTAACTAACTAACTAACTAACTAACTAACTAACTAACTAACTAACTAACTAACTAACTAACTAACTAACTAACTAACTAACAAGCGGGTCCACTTCATCTATTACAAAAGGGCAGACAATACTGATCGATAGGAACTGATTGCTATCAGTCTTATATTCCGCATTTACAAGCGCAAGATATCAGGAGCTGTCATAAAGTTAATTTAAAGTATAGGTCCGATCTTTTTTCTGTCTGGTCTATTAGATAATTTAACAAAAATTAGAACAAAAATCTCATTTTCATGATAATGAAAGACAGCGACTATAATCCCTCGGTATATTATATTTCATAGTCTAGTTTATAGTCATTATTATAGTTTAATCCATTATCTTGACTCTAGTCTAGTCCATAGCTTTCACTATAGTCAGTATATTTCTGAAAATAATCTAGTTAAGTACATTTCATTGACTATATTTTAGATATATTTAGTTCTATAGGCTATACGTTTTTCTATAGAATAGACTATAGTATATCCTAGAAACTAGTCTTCAGACATTTAAGAAAAAGTGTATAAAACTGAAGAGAAAGGTATACGAAGAGTCACCTAATTAGTCAAATTTTAAGATGTCTCACAAACAGATATTATAAAAAAGACTTTCTATTAATAAGTCAATTATGGAGGCTTAAAACATCTTTAAAAGAAGATTTTGTGCAATTATTAACCCATCATTATGAAAATCGGCAGTATGATTTTACTTTCATAAAACCTAGTTGTATGGCAGCTAAGTAAAATAATGGACCGATATTAACCAAAATTAACAGGGCTCGCCCTTTGGCTACATGTACAACAAATTTCATCGAATTATCTTGAAAATTGCGACCTGTACTTTGATTACATGGACGAACGACGGGCAGTCGGATATGGCTTAAACGACTCAAAAAATTATACTAAGCCGATTGTTATAGTTGTAGATCCGATGTTTTTGTATGTTAAAAACATTAGCAAAAATGCATAATATCCTCCTCACTATAGTGGTGTAGGGTATAATTATCCTTCTGGTTAAAAACTTTTTCACATAACCAACTCACACTCCATACTTAAACACTCTGTGGTTGCATTAAAATAATGTCACATCATGACATGATAATAAATTTCGGTGACACAATAAATCTTTTTGTACGTCAACAGTATTAACAGCAGACAACAACAAAAAACAAGAAAAATAAAAAAACATTATTAAATTTCAACAATTTATGTATATTGAATTGTTTGGTCATTGAACTCTAGATGACAAACGAAACGTCAATTAATTGATTTATTTACATCGAAATTTTGTGGTAAAACACTGATATCCTGTTAAAGGAGTCTAGAAGTATAGATTTAGGATTTGAAAACAAAAATTACACAATTAATAAATGCCATTTACACTATAAATAACTAAACACTCCCATGATAAAAAATACTATATAAAAAAACATTTAAACATGCAAATGATATTTCTTCCACTTTGTTTCATTTCTTTTACTATAAAAAAAAATTAAAATACCATTTATTATTATTTTTTATTTAAATAAAAACCCCGAATTATGTTGTTGTTTTTCTATGTACTTTTTCCATTTATTTTATATACAATTTCCTTAAAACCTTTAAAATTTCCTTTTCGTGAAGGCTTTACGCAAACAAAAGACTAACAAAAAGTAAAAAAAGAAATAAAAAACCAAAACGTTTCTAATCTAAATTTGTACTCATTTCCTTTAAATGCTATAGAACTGAAATTTATATTTTAGTCTGGTAAAAATACTTTATTTACTCATTCACCAGAACATTTTACCTTTTTGTGTTGGTGGGTGAAAGCCGTGTGGACTATGGTTTGGATCTTGATAAAGTAAAATAGTGTAAACATTTCACAAATGGTTTTTGTTTTTGACACTCAAACACAGGTATACATACAAACATTCATATTTGCCCAAAAAAAATTATAACTTGTTTTATAGACTACACGAAATATGCATATAAACTAAGTTTGTCAAAGTTTTAGATTTTTTACATAAAAATCAGTTTTTAATGGAAAACTAAACTGATTAAAGATTTTTACTAGTTATTTAAATTTTAGAAAAATTTGGTGAAAATTTCCATTTAAGAATTTCATTCGATTTAAATATTAAATAATATTTTTAAATTTCTGGTAGCTTTAACACAATTTCTTTTGTATTTTTTTATTGGAAATAACAAAAAGAAAGTAAAAAAAAACTTGAAGCCTTGTAAATACCTGGAGGAGATATATTGTTTTATTAAATATGTGACATTTATCCCCATGTTTATTTCTTTGAAAGTTGCGTGTGTGTCATTTGAATGTTATGAATGTATGTACAAAACATAACATATTTCTCATTGTCTGTGGCCCATGTTATTAAATCAAGTCCATAATTTTTTTACTTTAAATTAAAACATTTATTTTATTTAACATATAAAAGAGTCATGTTAACGAAAAATATATTAAATAGATTCATTAAGTAGAATTTTTGAAATTTTTATTATTTAGGGGTGAAAAGAAAAACGGGAAAACTGGATCTTAAATATCATGCACATTATTAATATTTAGAAGATTTTTATAAACTTTTTTTATATATCGAAACTAAAAATACATACATAAACATTTGTGTGTCCTGTGGACTCAATTTTGTAGGAATGCTTTTCAAAGGTGCATTTTAAAGGGCATATAACTTTCAAAATAATCTAAAAATTCTGAAATGTACCAAATGCCAAAAAAAAATAAAAAAAATTAAATTAATAATTTTTCTGCATAAATTTTTCATAAATTTTTCAGAATTTTTAATCGTTAGTGGGGAACTGAGAACCATTTCAAAACAAATATTTTTATTGTTATCGTGTTCAGTACACTCTATTATGCATACATATGTATATTAGGGAGCCCCAAAATGGAAGTTGTTCCCATCGAAAATGAAAGTTTAGTTCATTCTAGATACCATCTCTCAAAATTTTTGTCCTGACGTCAATATTTGGTGAGCTGGATCAAAGGATAAAAAGGTCCTTTTTTAAGGTTTTTATGATTTTTTCACATATTTGGCAAATAAACCATATACAAGTTTAGTATCATATGAAAGGTCATTGGGAGACAATTTCAATGACATAACATAAATTTGTATACTCCAAAATTATTACAAATGTCCATAATGATTTGGAAAATTTTTAAG